AATTATACAAGTACAGTTGATGCAAAAGTTTTGGTACCCTGGTCGAATCTCAGATTTTGTTGATTTTCTACATGTAAATAAGTAAACACATCCACTACAGCAGGGGTTCTCAAGATAGACCACCTATCTGAAGCTGCTTGATGCCCCGTTTATTCGTTTATCCATACATAAACATGTCCGTCCATTTGTCTGCACGTCTGTTTGTCTGAAACAGTTTGATCTGCATCACCAGACGGGGTGTTTCCTAGTCTTTGAACTGGAAAATCTTACTCTGTATACTACTGACGCTCCACTGTAGGCTGCATGTAAGCATGTTCACAACAGATGTAGCAGTGGCTACATTTATATTTAGGCTGGAGTGTCTCAAGGCATCTCAAGGCTATCTATTTTATGAGTCCCAGTGCACCTTTACTTATTTCAATCATCTATATTTTATAGACAATTAGAATAGTAGCAAGTCTAGTGGCTATTATACACACTGTTATTACTTAATACCCCATTCATACGGTCAGGGTGACCATGCTGTGAGTGCATTATCATTCTAAGGGTCTGTAAGTGTGTCAAGGGCTTATGGTCAGCATGGGGGCTTTAATGAGGCAGGAATATAGAGCATAGTGCACAGAGGTCCTCACAGGGAGAATAAGCTAGCTAATCGTTTCACTCAAGATCATGACGATTATGAAAAGACAAAAGTGAGAACACACAGAATCATGACAGCAATTTTGGGCCAACTATACATAAAGGCATTAAACTGGAATTCCACTCATTTTTAATAAATTCTTTAGGATGAAATGAAGATGTAAAACCATTCAGAGTGGTTTGGTGTGAAATGTTTTGTTCTCTGACTCTTACTGAGTCAGGATTGTTCACAGTGGTGGTGATAGGAACCAGACGTCCACCTCTATAAGCTCTCTCACAGCAAGTTATCACATAATATGGTTATGAATACAATGCCTGATGCCTGAGTCGTTGATTTATGATAGTTTTGAATTAAAGTTTAGGTGTCTAAAATGTATTGAAATCCATCCACTGTGAAGGGATACATGAAGGGTGTTGTAAGGTAAAATAATCGTATTTTTTCAGAGTTACCCCTATTTTACCATCATCAACATTACATATAAAATGCAAAAAGCACATGCAGGTTCACTGGTCATTTTGGATGGTAAATAAAATGGCTGTACAGTCCAAAAGTTTGGGCACCTCTGGTCAAATTACATTGTTTGTTGACATAAAAATAAGTACACATCCTCTATACTCACACTTCTGCACATGTTAAAGTACGATTACTGTTTATTTGCTAAGTTTAACATCCTAAAACATGAAATGTGGTTTGTGCAAAAGTTATGGCACATAACTGTTTTCTAGTATGTTAAACTCAGTAAACAAATTGTGCACTAAAATCTGCAGAAAATTAAATGTAAGTTTAAATTTAAGTTCTCTGTAGAGGGTGTGTTCACTTCTTTTCACTGATTTTCACCCTGCTTCCTCTCACCACCACTATAAAGAAATCAGAGTTGGTAATTTTCTCTACAATGAACCGTTTCACACCAAACCACTCTGAATGACTCTGTTTGCATCTCAACCACTGAATTATGTAGGAATTTTGAAAAATTGGTGGAATTCCCCCATCATGAGAGGGATCAACTGAGGCCGACATAAATGAATAAATAAACTCAGTTAAAAGGCCTGTCAGCACTTCACCGCACACTGAACTGACCTCCTTCCTTAAATCAGTAATGCTTGGTTCAAAGAAAAAAAGCACACAGGCCTCTAAAAATATCAGCCGACGCTTAATTTGGTAGCAGAGAGCTGAGAATAGCGCTGGCTAAATAAATCATCACATGCTCTCAGGCCTCAGAGCTAATGCTCTTTACAGCATGTTGACATGTTCACTGATCTGAGATCTACGGGTTCACAAAGTGGGGACAGTGTGAGGACACAGGTCATCTGTCCCGGCACCTCTGTAGTCCTGTAAACAAGGTTTGAAAACTCATGCTAGGGTTACTGTCTGAAGGGAAATGTCTTTAGATGCTTTTGTGCTGCCCTTGAGTCACATCATCAGCCAATTATCTGGACCTTCTGGAGCTGAACTGGATATGCTCAAGCAGAAAAACATGACACAGTGTCCTGCAGTAATAGAGACAGAAAACAGTGGGTGTTTCTCAATAGCTGCAGAATGTTCCGGAGAAGAACCTTCTTGCCAAGTTACCTTGCTAGAATGAACTTGCAAGAATGTAAGAATGGTGAAGGCACTGATAAGAGTTTGAGGTGTGGGCTTACTTGCTCTTTGAAGGCTACCTATAGTACTGGGCAAAAGTCAGACAACCCATCATTTATTTAATTTCCAAAACAGCCATTAAAGGGGAATTCCACCAATTTTTCAAATTTCAGGATAATTTAGCGATTTTGCCTTAGGACACCCCTCATGTATCCCTCCACCAAGAATCTATTAAACTAAATTGATTAAAATACGTTCGAGACCCAAACTTTATCACAAAACTACTGTAAATCAATGTGTCAGACCAGGCAGTGCATTCATAAGCACTGAATGTAATAACGTTCTTTCTGTGAGGGACTTTTTAGAGGCGTTAAACCCCTCAGATGTCTGGTTCCTATCACCACCACTGTGAACAATTCTGTCTCTCTAAGTTTCTCTAAAACAAAGCATTTCACACCAAACCAGCCTGAATGATTTTGTTGACATGTTAACCATTTAATTATGCAGAAATGTTGAAATATCAGTGGAATTTTTCTTTAGGTACAAGTTATGATTTTTTAGGAGATATTTCTGAAGAGGTATAGGGTAATCTACTTACACCTCACTTTACTAATAGACCACCAAACCATCTCATCCTAAATAAACAGTACTTAACCCCTTTTCACAGTAGCCATACAATGCAATTTCTGCTAGTTTTGGAGCTCCTTTAGTGAAACTGTGCAATTTTTCTTCAATTATTTTTATGGAACATATTTTGATGGAATGAGTCAACATTTCTAAGTGTTTTTATTGTGCTGTGTCAATGCTATTTGTTATTGTGGCAGTTGTACATGAGTGTTTAATCCCTTAAAGGGCCAGAGCCCACCAGAGAGCACAATGTTTTACTACACACTTTATAACCTAAGAATAACTCAGCTAGTTTGCACTGTAGTCCATGTAGTCCACTGAATAATAATCCTTGGTATGTAATACGCCGGGGATATGACATGATATATGGTGTTCTTAACTAGGTTCTATGTTCAAAACAATTTGAGAATATTGACATAAGCTGTTCATACTTAAGTATGTTATTCAGTGCTTATGCACATGTTACAATGTCCCTGTGTAGGTAGCCATCAAATAAAGTGTTACTGTACTTCTGTTATAAATGTTATGCATGGAATGCTGAACACTTTATGCAAAACAAATGACTAAATGGAGTCTGATAGGCCTGATTATCCACATCTATGATGATAACAGTTATTATTATTATTATAATACAGCCAAAGACTTTGTTGTTATGTCACCGATTCAGCTACTGACTGCTATTGTTATTTGGAAGAGCAGCTTTAAAAAGCCTTAACAGTTTTGGTTCTTACTCATCTCCTCCGCCATCATGAGCCATAACAGTTCGGGTCTTTTATTTCATTCCTTTTTTCCAGTCATCAACCACTGCACCTGAGCATTTTGATCAAAAGCAGCTGTTCTTGGGCTGAATTGAAGAGGATGTCATAGGAGTCACTAGAATGCAAGAACATTCAAGCAAACACCCACCGCATTAGCATCTTATGGAACTGTCTGGTAGAATCATAATAATAAGATTATAGTGGGGCAGGGCGTGGCCTAAAATGTGAAAAGATGATATCCAAGAAGTTAATTTGTATTGGAAGATTCTGTGCAGTATTCCCTGGAAGAAGGTTCTGGAAAAAGTCATTACTGATGGTTTATGTAGCATAAATTTTTATAAAACCAGTCACGGCAATACACAGTGCTATACAACTGTACAAAGGTCAGAGACCTCATTCTTTTATTTCATTTCAAGTAATTCATTTTTTAGTATCAGGAAAAGAAACAGAAAATAACACAGAAACCTCAATATCTAAATATAATATTGACATACAATGTAATTTTTTTGAGTATTTAGTGTATTCACTCTACCTTTATTACAGCTTCAATTCTTTTTCAGGAGATTCACTTGTGGTTTTTCAAAGGAATCTGCAGGGATGTTTTTCCCACACCTCCAAAGTTCAGTCTTAGAAGATGGTTTTGCATTTTTGGCTTTCATGATTCAAGTAATCTTTACATCAACACCAGGGAACACCATTTCCTATTTCCACCCCTGCCCCTTGTTTTCAAGTGTTGCCTTGTCCCTTTAAACGGAGTTACAAGGGATAGTGGTTAAAATTTTCCTCTATGAAATGAGACAATCCTCAAATAAAAAAAGAACATTACTTCATTAACAGGCTACTAGTGGTGCCCTGTAGGTGACCCTGCCAGTCTGCAGTGATAGCAGTGGAGGGTAAAGATCAGCAAACTCACCGCTGGGCTTTAGTTACATTTAGGGCATCATATGTCTTCAAAGAGGGAGGATGTGATATTTATTTATTAATGAAAGAAGGCTCTGGAAAGATCCTTGCTATGATCCTACCTCCATTTAAAATGAGTCCCACGTTTAGGGCCCAGGAGACGTAGAATCTAACGAAGGGGTATTTTTCAATTAAAAAGTAATATAATATGAGGAGGTGGAAAAGAGAAAACCCCATTAATGGGGTGGTTGGCAGGGGAGATTGGGGTCTACCATGTCTCCAATAAGGCTCTACAGTAATATCATTACATCATTAGACCTTCATTAGACTATTATATCATGAAGCCTGGAGCTGCTTTTACACTGTTGATGCTCTTAATCTCACATTGGACACGTTGCACTGTTAGGCCCTCAAAGCTCCTGTCCTGTAAGTCCAGCTTAAAATACTCTTCTCTCAATCTTTTGATCCCTCACCTCATTTTCTATGGAGAAGGAACACGTGTGCTTTCGGGATGGAGGATGGGGGGTGCGGGGGTTAAAGAGAAGAGACTAGTTCTGGAAGATTGTGAGGGATGGAGGGCGTGAGCGGAGGGGATTAAACAAACAGGTATAAAAGAGAGAGACAGCGAACAGAGGGATGGTGAAGAGAGACTGCAGAAAGAGAGCCGAGGAACACAAACTCGCCTTTGTTTTGCATCTCTGCACTTGCTCACCGAGCAAGAAATCAAGCCTCAGAAAACTTCCCTGCTGTGAAGCAAAGGTAAGAGAACATGACATTCTGTCAGAGCCTGTTACAGTGCAGTGGTGTGGTTTATATTGCAGCTTGTTTACTTACAGACACGTGCTATAAAAGTCTGAACACCTCCAGTCAAGGAGGTTTTGTTGATGTTCTATATGAAAATAATTTTACACAATCTTTTACTTTTACTGAGAACACATTTAAATATAGCACTTTTCTACACATTTTAGTGCACAATTTCTGTTTATTTTAGTTTTACATATTGGAAAAAAGTAAGAAGTTAAAGTGTGCCATAACTTTTGCACAAGCCACATTTTGTATTTTTATATTTTAGTATTATAAGTGCTAACCTTATAGCTCCACCTTGCTGCTGTACAGTTGGAGAATGTAACCCATCTGTTGGTGCACAGTTTGTCTTAGCCATCCTCGTTTCTGGCTACAGAACCACTCTTGGCCGGATATTTTTGGGCAGTGGACCACTCATAACCTAGCAGTGACACTGACCCCAGCAACACCGCTGTGCCTGATACACTCAAACTAGCACCACACACTACCATGTCAGTGTCACTGATGTGCTGAGAATGGACCACCCAAATAACGTGGTCAGTGGGGGTCCTAGGGTAGTCCTTTTCCAAAGTTTGGATGGGGTAGATGGCAGTTCATGAGTTGTGCAGCAACAGATCGGCTGCAGCCAGCACAACCCTACAGAGTGCATCTTTATAGTAGATGTTTCCGATAAAGTGGCCAGTAAGTGCAGGTACAATTCGAGTCCAGTATTGTTCAACCGTTTAAGTGGCCAGAAGAAAAAGTTAAGAATAACTTAATGGGGGAGATGAGTGAAATGAAGGGCAGAGGGGTTCTGGACAGTTCTAGCATACAAAAAGGTCTACAGGCGGTTGCTTTAACAAGCAAAGAGGGAGGCTAGCATCTTAAAAACGCTACTGTTAAACTTTATATAATAATATTTTTTATAACATTTCTTACTCCCATTTTAAGGGTGGAACAGCTCATAAAAAAATCTAAATATTCTACACTACTACTCTGTAGGGCTTCCCTCAGTCTGCAAAGCCCTCTCTGCCTCTCTGGATAGAGAGAAAACATTAGCCTATTAGCTCTAGCATAGTTTGGCCTACATTCCAGAAGTAGGCAAGGCTAAATGAAGCTAATATTTTGGATTAAGGTGGTAACAGATGGCTTTGGGTGTCCCATATTAGATAATCGAGGTTATGCAAGTACACTATAAATAGACATCTGTAAACACAGCCGGGCTAATGACGATAACAGAGCTAATGAACTGTGTAAAGAACTGCGTTTAGGATTAGCTGAGCCTAATCCGTCAGCACTGCTCAGGTCATTGATAAAAGAGGTGTGCTGGGATTTAGAAAGTGTGAGAGAGGCGGATTAAAAGGTCTAAAGGTGAAGATGCTCCTGTGTTTTACTGAAACAGTGAAACTGGTGCTAGAATTCAGGGTACAGCTAAAGGTGTAGTTTAGCGTTAGCATTGGGAGGCAGTGTGAAGTCCCACCCCCAAGCACAGAAAGCAATTAGAAATAAATAATGAAATTTGAAATAAATAATTTCTGTATTAATTATAGATAATTCTGTTAGGTTATTTAAATCTATATCTAGCTTAACCACTGAGGCAATAAAATCAAAATCAAGTTGGCAACCGGTAACAATGTTAACACAAGCTAGCATTAGTTAGTTAGTCATTCTTTTTGTCTGTTACCAAAGCCAGAAAACTGTCTTTTTCTGAGTTATATTTCAAATTAATTTGCCTTTTTCACCTCACCTGTTCTGCTTGAAGTCTTTAAGATGTACACAGTCAGTGTGGTTTGATGTGAAATTCTCCATTCTGGAGAAACTTACTAGTCATAATTGGTCATTTGTTTAATCCACAATGAACTGTTTCATATCAAACCACTTTGAATGAATTTTATATCTCATTTATATACATAAACTGGTTCATGTTTCAGTGGTGTAGCTCTATTTCAAATGGATTGTAAGCAATCAACCCATGTTATATTACCTGAATTATGCCAGCTGGGCAGCTACCTCTTTACAGGCCTGCGACTGACCTTCTTCCTCCACACTTCTCTTCTTTCATCAGTAAATAAACGCAATGGACGTCGCAGCCCCCGCAGATAAGAAGGGACCCCCCAAGTTCAAGGCAAGGGCCATCCGCACCTTCAAGAGCAAGGCCCCAAAACCAGGCCAGAAGGGATTCGGAGACGACATCCCTGGAATGGAAGGACTCGGCACAGGTAAACGCTAATGCTAATGCTAACGCTCACACTTCTGGCCTTTAATTAGAAGGCATGGTGTAGTTATAGCCTACCCTACTTGTTCTTAAAAAGGGCCGTAATCTACTGTAATTTATGATGATTAAAGTGTTGACTTGATTATTTTAAGTAAGCATGCCAGCGCTAGCCTGAGATTTCCATCTATTTTCTGATCCTTTTCCCTCTTTTTCTTTGTCTCTCCCAGACTTCACCGTGATCTGCCCGTGGGAAGCGTTTGGCGACATGGAACTGAGTGATTTGGCTAAATATGGAATTGTGTAGTTCCTCCTTCCCCTCTTTCGTTAGTCCCTTTCTCCAGGGGCCAGGCACCTAATGCCCCGTGCCCTTCGACCTGCTAAGTATCGCTGAGTGGCACAGTGCAGAATAGTCTGGGCAGTAAAAATCTTTAAAATGAATGAACACCGTGGTTTGATGGGTGTAACTGTAATATGAGATATTTGGCATGAAAAAAAAACGTCAATTTGAACTCCATTCTAAAAACGACCGCTAAAGTGAAGTGTCCAATTAGCTTCTGTCTGGACACGAAAGAAGCGTTTCCCCAAAGTACATCAGCCCTGCACTGATGCTGCTCTCTGGATAGACGTTTGTCCTCAAAGATAATGAACTCTATCTTGTGAAGTGGTTTGAAGTATACGCTGTTCCGATGTTACAGCTGTGTTGTTTTCCCTCATCTATCTGCCCCTTTCCTCTCTGGCCTATTTCTATACAGAGGTATATTTATGTACTTCAAGCACAAATCTGTTTTATTTTTATGGTCTGTAAGTGTCAGTATGTGTGTGTATGCCTGTGTTTCAACACCATTACATCAGCATGGCTAACCTGAGCTAACTCAGCTACCAGACCAGCTGTACAGGGGAACACGGAATAAAATTGTTTATTTTCCCAAACTTCTTTCTTTGTCCATCCTGACACTTTGCAAATCTTCTGGCCTCCATGATCTTTAAGCAGGAATTCCATCGTTATTTTCAAAATGTATGATTTCTGACTCAGATTTCTTTGATTGTAGTGGTTATTTTAAAACTAATACAAAACAATGTCTCAGGCTTCAGGTAGCGTATTAATATATCCATTTCATATAATAACTTTCTGTGAGGGATCTTTTGGAGGCATTAGATCCTTCCAAATCAAAACATCTTGATAAAATGTAGCAATATTTGTAAGAATAGTAATAATAACAATAATAATAATTCATCTTTAAACAATTACTACAAATATTTACATATTTTTTTACTGAATGAAATTATATTAAAATGTCTTGATTTATTAATGTTGTAGTAATAGTAGCAGTAGTAATAATAGTAAGCATCAAAATAAAAACATTACAAATATTAAAAATTGAACTTTAAGTTTTCCTGAGAAAATCTATTATTGAAACATACTGATTAATTAATTTTGTAATAGTAGTAGTAGCAGCTGCAGTAATAGTACTACTTCAAAATCAATACATTTCAATAATAAAACATCCTTCAAAAACAATAAAACTAAAATATGCAACATTTGTTGTGATAGTACTGGCAGTAAAAATAATAATAATATAAACAATCATTAAAACAAATATTGAAAAGGTTTCCTTAGTCTTACTGAAGAACATTGTTATTGAAACATATTAATGTAGTAGTAATAATAATATTATATTACTATTATTATTACATAAATCAATGCATCACTATAATAATAATAATAATAATAATAATAATAATAAAGACTTGACTCATTCATGTGTATATTTTTAAAAAATTGTTTATATGGACATTCAGATACAAATTACATCACAAATGGCATCTGAGTATGCAGAGAGGAAGAGTTCAAACCAAAAACACACTCACATTGTAAACTAAAGGATAATATGCATAACATGTATTATATAATAATGTGCAAAGATGGAAAGGAGAATATATAATAAGGAATGGAACACTACTGAAGGTGGGCAGCTATTGTTCTCTCGCCATCCCGACTGCACGACTGGACATTATTTAAAAAGCTGTGTTCCACATGCAGATCCAACAAACTCACACTAGCACACCTTTTGGGGTCTCTGATCCTCCTCCCAGCCGTCTGAAAATATCTAGTAATGTTCCTCTGACTCAGGCTAGAGTTCTCGGCTGACTTGAGCTGAAGAGACCACCTCCGATTCTACGCGTCTTGGTCAGCCGAAGGGAGCGGAGTCTAGCCTGCCCAAAGCCTCAGCGATGGGCTACTGTTTACAGTAGCGCTGGCGCCTCTATGAAAGTTAACATACTAGAAAGAAGAGGATTACAGAAACGGACCAAATCCACCCTCTTTATCTAACTCCTGGGACAGTCTACGAGGGGAAGAGTGGGGGCAGATCGCAGGTACTGAGGTGTTTGTTTCTTGGTAACACTGAGAAATATAGTGCATAGACTGCAAAGTACCTAATGGACAGAAAAAAGCAACCCCCTTCCATCTCACTGAGCTTTCAGAGAGAAGGCAGGAATTTCCTTAAATCTTAATACAAATGTTCCACGTGACTCCGCAGCAGTGGAATATAATTTAAATCCCTACACCACACGAAAAGAAACGTAAATGCAGGGAATTTGAGAAACTAAAAGCTTACAATTATGAAATGTTTTCTATTCTTTAACCTACAGTACGGGTGTTGGCTAAGAAGCAACACCAAAACCGTGTTCGACAGGATTCTGTATATCGTTCACGCAGTCCAGACAAGCCGCGCTTTTGCTTTCACCACCGTCCAGCACTTCTGAAAGACTCTTGCACCAGACAAAGAATGTACATCGGTAAAATCCTGACCACAACAAAATAAAACCTGATCGTTTTTAACTGATAAAGTTTGTTAATAAATTAGCTTGTAGTAAATTGGATGTCGATGGCACAGAAGACACAGCAAATTCCAATTCAAACTGTTTTTGAAGCCACTTCAAACAAACAATAAAATCTATAGATACAAAAATAAAACAAAAGCCAAAAACAACAGAAATTACTATAGGCTCATACATATGACCAAAAAAATGTGCTTCACAAATCTTTGGAACCAAAATCTCAAAAGACAAAATATCAATATCAATCAGGAAATAGAGAAAAGACACTTAGCAAAGCGAGAAAGTAAAAAATACTATGTAGTTAACCTTTAAAACATCCGAAGATTTTCACTCGCCGCTCTTTCTGAAATGTTGTTTGGAGATTGCATATTCAAACAAAACGATTCTTGTAAAAAGGAGAGCCGAAATCCAACGCAGTCCCGTAAAAAAAATGGGCATTTTACATAATCTCTGAACGTGATTTCATTATTCAGCCATTCATGATGGCATTACTGTAATTTTGTTCACTGCGTGGGATCATTTGATAACATGATTTAAAGTTGCATTACCTATTCCTTCTGACTTAAACTGGAGCCAATAAAAACATGTCACAGAAATGGTATGTCAAAAAAAATGCTCTAATTAATAATAATAATAATAATAATAATAATAATAATAATAATGTTTGGTAACATTTTTGTTCTATACTAGTTTATTTGCATATTATGACTATTCAATTTTAAAGGTATGTCTTTTCAAAAAGACCTCAAAGTAGGAGGTAATTTTACAATATCAACAAAAAAACAAAAACCAAGGATCTAAGCAAGATTCTGTAGGCTATGTATGACACATCGTCCCGTATGCGTGCGTAAAATTCCTGCGATCTGTAACAGCCGTTAGCGTTTTTCCCTCAATTTCAGTTTGTTCGTTTCTCGGATGACGCTTTGAGAAAAACGCCACTTCACACACAGTTGCCTCCGTTCACACTACAGAACATCACCGTTTCCTCAAAAAAGCTTATGGGCAGTCTCTGTTGGGGGGGGCTCGCGTGCTCCCCCCCACCTCACAGTCCACCACGTGGCCTGGGCAGCCATCTCGCTTTTGTGTGTTCCAACAGGGATAGTAAATGTAGTGTGGTACTTCTGAACAGTGATGTATAAACTTGTAAAGTCCGTTGAAGTCCAGACACTCTGTGCACATGTAGTTTGGTGGCCACTAGAGGCGCTCTAGAGCCATTACTGCATGCATATGTGCAGAGAAACGTGCCAAAGGAAGAAGTAATAATCAAGCTTTTTTTTCAATTTTTCTTTTCTTTTTTTTCAGTCGTGCAATTCCTCAGTCAGCCATCTCACGTCTCCGTCCAAGTTCTTTACGGTTATGTAGTTGTTTTATTTTTTTAAAAAAACACTTGTAGTGATGTACTTTTCTTTCTCAAGTATTCGTTCCAAAGCGGCGTGTTTCGTTTTCCGTTTGTCCACACACAAAAAAAAAGTACGTCTCCGCTCCAAAGTGACTGACTGTTTCTAAAAGTTTCGGAGAGTTGGTGAAGTCTGGAGGTTTTGGAGTTTAGTAGGGGGAGAACCTGCTGTACCCTCCCCTGTAGAGGGTGGCCTGCGGAGGGGGAAAAAAAGCAAGTTAGTATGACAAAAGCAAACAATGGTTTGTTGTAAAAATCAACTTGAGACAATTTTACCCCAACCCCAAATTTAGTGAATCAGCTTGCTATTTGCCTGATTGAGGAAGATAATTGTGATTTGCTCAAATAACTGCAGTTTTTGGCTTTTACAATCCTGTGTTTATGTAGCAGCAAACAGTATGTGAACTGGACGTGTATTTGTTTTGTTACAAATATATGTAAATAAAAATAAATAAATAAATCTCTCCTAAATATCTGTCCCAACCTAAATAACCAAAGTCCTGATATTTAAACAGTTGCACTTTTTACATTTTCTATTTTGAGTTAGCTGTTTGGTTTATTAACTATATATAATTAATATTTACTGTTATATAATGAGTAATAAGAACCACAACTGTACGTTATCTTTATTTTGCAAAATAGTAAAAACAGAACTAAACAATGTATAGACAAACCTGTGGTGTGTACACATGAGCACGTTTTGACTCAGCTAAATGTTTCATATTCAAGCTTTTCAAGTCATTGTCTTATACGTGTCATTGCCTTATATACGGTCTCATTCACGGTCGACAGCAGCAGTTTAGCTGCAGATTTCTGACTGAAGGAGGGGCACACAAGTGGACACAATAGCTAGTGGGCTGCTATGCTAAAGGCCTACCCCAGGCTAAAGGTACTATTACCACAAAAACATCGGCAGTTCCTCCCAAATGTCACTAACATTCCTCTCCTTGATAACAACCTGGACTAACATTAACTCAGACTGTGACTGACTACCCAGCAGAAGATAAGGGATTACTGAAAGAAGGCTGACTTAGCCATTGAGGTATGGGGTCCCGTTAGCGGGTTTTACACTGTCTGTACATTGTTAACCAGATTATTTGTGGGGTTTTGGTGAAACTAATACCTGAAGAATAATATCACCCACTACCTCACAATGGCTGCTAATACTGTTTTAAGCTATGTGTCTTCTGTACTGCAAACTTTAGAAACATCTAGGCTGACCGACTCCTATTTACTTTTGCTGAACTACCATTTTATGAAACCCATTTTGTAAAAGACAATTTCAGAGCAACTAGAACACAGAGATTAGAAGAGAATGAGCTGGCGTACCATAGCTCCCACTCCGTACGCGGCAGCTGCCGGGGCTGCTAACGCCGTGGCGTAGGGATCTGCCGTGTATACACGACCGTAGCTGGAACAGAAAGGAGGTACATCTTTCAGACTGGAATTGATTTACAATGGATATCAATCAAATGCAAAAAGTTACTGGTAGTGCCAGAGCTCAACAGGCAGCCTCAATCTTTTGAATCAGACGTTATGTAAGATTAAAAGACCCACGACTGGACTAGACTGGCTTCTCGTTTAGCAATTCAAAAAACTCCATATTTTAAAGTCATATAAGTAAGAAATTCAATAGAAAATTAATTCCAACAAGAAGACTTTAATGAAACCATATGATGTTACAGGTGATGCAGTTAGCTGTGCTTTATGTCTTGTGTAGGTCCATTTAAAAACGTCATAAAAATATTTTGGAGGCATTGATCAAACATTCAAATAAAATTATTTTCCTAATTTCTACACTGTTTATTAAACCATTTTAAATTAGTTTGTTAAGTAAAATTGTCACTATATTTGGTAGAAGAATTTACGAAATATTTTTAAGATAATTTTAAGAAATATTCTTGAAACAAGCAGTATTATCTGTCAATATAGTGACAACAAAAAAGCATTTAATACTGAAAACAATCATTTAATATTCCTTCAACCATCTTAAAGGTGCAGTGTGTAAGATTTAGGGGGCTCTTTTAACACCACTAGAATATAGTATACAAAACCATGTTTTCTTTAGTGTGTAATTACCTGTAACTACAGACTGTTGTTGAATGAGCTCTTCATATCTACATACAGAGTGAACTCTCTTCCAACAGAGGCCACCATATTGTGCCACAATGTTTCTACAATAGCCCAGAATGGGCCAAACACTGGCTCTAGAGCAGTGGTCACCAACTCTCCAACCCTCCAACCCTGAGCTACATCCCTGCACCCCCACCCCCAAATAGAGTTTGATGAGCAGGTGTGGCTAACTGTGGTTGGAATTAGGCTCTCCAGGATCAGGGTTGGAGACCACTGCTGTAGAGAGTGCCTTCTGCGTTTTTACGTTGAAGTGGCATCTTGAATTTGGTGGCGCTACAGCATCAGTTGGAAGGTGCAGAGAGAAGAAGAATCAATGGTTGCCGCTGGTGCTGGCTAACGATTTTGTGTTGTGAAGTCTGAGAACCCACATAGTGACAAAAGAAGATTAATACTTAGTATTTAGCACAAGAACAAGCAAGAGAGGGTGAATCTTCGCTGTCAAAGTAGTAAAAACCTGGCGGCCCCTGCAGGTTCTACTACATGCGTGAAAAGGGAGGTGTGAGGGCGAGGTGTTCAGTTGGTTGCAATCTGTAACCTCACCACTAGATGTCACTAAATCTTACACACTGCACCTTTAAATGAGAAATATTAGATGACTATTTACATTTACATTTACATCATTTAGCAGACGCTCTTATCCAGAGCGACTTACAAAAAGATTTCAAAACTGGGTAAATTAAGCCTATGCCTAGAGTTCTCCACAAGGGGATGCTATTAACACTACTTTCAATAAAAGCTATGTTTTAAGTTGCAATATTTATTGAATTCACTGGAAAGCTGCAACCTACAAAGTAAAGAATGTTACTTGAGTGTCTTACAAGCTTCAAAATGTCTGTTTTTAAGCCACATCTGCCATAAATGGTACAGATTAGTGAATGTACACCATGGTTAACTTGCAGCTAACATTACACCGCAAATCCCAAGTCCATGCTTGTGGAAATGACCACAGATGACCACAGAACAAAAAAAAATGTCAGTGTTTTTAATGTAATCCTGCTAATTAAATCACCCTATTTTCATACTGCAATGGTAATCAGATTACCGTTTTTTTTCTGTAATGGAATACAGTTACCTTTTTCATATCGCTGTTGTTGGAACCTTGTATCTCTACTACCTGTATTCTACATGTATTCTGTTACTACCCAAGTCTGTCTAATTAACCAACCTGTCACTGTAGGCTGCCGCTGCCG